AGGAAAAACCGTGCCTTTGATGCTGTTGCTATCATACATTATAAGATAGCGATAAGTATGTTTGGTGTTTATTTCTAAACTGTACATCTATCACTGACCATATTTCATGATCACTGTCATTAAACAATTTCCCCATCAATAACATCGGTAGCAAGATAGCTAAGTGTCTGAGCTTTTAGTTGCCCGCAAAACAGCAGTATACAGTCTTAGAAGATGAGTGTTCTGTGTCTCAATTAAATGCAGCTGGCTGTGGACAAGGGTTAAGAATCTTTTTGACAACTGGGACTTTTAGTTTATCAGACACTAACTCTGCTTGTATGTTTTCCTGTTAAACTAGACGCAGATGCATGGGAATACTTAAATGGGAGCAAAATAATAAAAACATTGCAATACGGTACTAAGCCCATGTTATGCTTTGCGCAAGTAATAGTAGCTGACCTTATCTAATATTCATGAACTCAAGGTAAATCACAACTGCATAAATTCTTTGCTAAAAAACATATGATTTGGTTATTTATATATTCCACATTTCTGACTAAATTCATCACCATTTTTTCATTTAGAATGCAGCGGGAGTGAGTCTTCACAGATCATAAAAACTGTTTCGCCCTTAGAACTATGGCCCTATGGAACTGTTTACGGGAGATCCAACGAACAGCAGATTATAAAAAGGATGCTGGACGTCCATTTTAGTCTCACAACCACTTCCAGTATTTTTTGACTTCTTTAACTCTTTCGTTTGGAAAAATACAACGAAAACTACAGCTTAACATTACCAATACAACTTTTAAACTGGAACTTGGTTTAAACCTTTGTTTGCTATTCGATTCTTAATGAAAGTTCTTGAATAAATTTCTGAATCTAATGCTACTTTGTTTTATCTACTTAATCGTTGCAAGAAACTTGTGATAAGCGAGCCTCTCAGCACCTAGTTCATGTGTTCAAATGGTTGTGGACTGAATAGAAGAAACTTTCGCTTAACAGGCTTCCGTGTCTAGTAGCAGGGGATCACCAATACCTCAAGGCAGAAAACTAGGTATGGTAACAATAAAAGAGGAGAAATAAATTGATAAATCATAGTATGATACTACACTTAGTCCTTAAGAATAAACCCAGTTGCCCCTTAAAGGACTCCTGCGAAGTCGCTTGGACTAGCTCGGCCGGCAGAAAATCCCAGCATTTCACAACTCTTAAGGAGGAGAAGTTGTGCCTACAGTCCGTTTTGCTATGTTGTGTCTCTAGTTTCTGGGTGTTACCCCTTAGGTTAGTGTTGGAACTAAGCTTAATTAGGTGTCTTAGGGGATGTCCAGAAGTGTTAAGGTTATTGTAAGCCATTAGGTCACCTCTAAGACGTCTATACTGTAATGAGTAGAGGTTAAGTGATTTGGTGCATATCCTCGTCATTTCCTTGGGAGACCTACAGACTCGGGTCCTCTCATAGCTTATTCTAACCACCATGGGTTGTCACACCAGCTGATGGATGGACATGCGTTACACATCCTAGCCGTACCTGCGTATTATCTTATAGCTTCTATTTCAAATGCCATATGACAAGCAAGCAATGCCCCTACCCGCACTTATGGAACACTAGTAACTCAAATGCACCCCGTATGGTACCTTACACTGGTTTACGCACTCGCTTAGCTCTTTAGTGAAAATCCCATGAGCCCCCCTACCTCCATCAAAACAAATAAGTCTGTATTTGCAGCATATAGCAATTTTATTATTCAAAAGTAAGATATAACAGTTAGAATTGGAGTAAAATGGCAGTATACAGCAGATGCACGTGGTACATGTCTTCATCGATTAACTGAAATAGAGAATATGGATATTAGATTAACAGCCTTATTTAGAAAGACTAGTGTCTAATTTGAACTTACTGCGTGAGAAAGTTATACTGGAACTACGAATGCTGTAGAAATAGTTTCTCGGGGCGCACGAAGCACCCAGACTGTAAGATAGTTGTTCAAAAATAATTCAAATATGGAGGTGAAAATTTGCAGGTACTTTTCATCGTGAGGGTGAACATATTAGGTACCAGTTGAGATCATACCGTAAGAAAACGCATATTTGCGAGTGGTGAAATACGATCTATAAAAAAGTGAGCTTAATAACAGTTAATTACCTTTTTACTCCCTGATCATGACCCTTCGGCTACCTTTTATGGCCAAAACAGCAAACATACACTACACACTGGTAGCAGATTTCCGGCTTTTCAATGTTAAGCTTGCTTTAACGCACTGAGTAATGAGTACACCCCCCTCTATTACTGTTATATGGCATATTTTTCATAAAAAACCCTCTGCAATAGATTGGTAGCATCTGTGACTTCATCTATAGTTGTCGGAAGTCTGGGTCCTTTCGAAATCAGTACCGATATACCCTACTGCTGGGCACTCTGTATTAGTTTGACTCGTTGGTGGAATAGTGTTGTCCATAATACTAAAGAAAATTACAAAACGCAGATTGTTTCCTTTCATTTTGCCGATAACATCATAAAGGACAGTTAGGAACGAACATGCGAACAGTTCAAGTCACAGGCGGCAGCAACAATTATTTTAGCTAAATAAAAACGAACTTCGGGTTCGGACGTCTAGAAAAGAAGGTAAAACATAACCGATTGTCGCTTGAAAACGTAAGGTCTTATGTTAGTACTAGCCAGCTTAGCTGAATAAATACATTAACTTCATTAGCAGCAGATAAAACCCAGAAAACAAAGCAAAATCAGGAAAAACTTTGCTCCAACGTTCAGAGTATTACACTAGCTTTTGAATTTTAGCACACTGAAACATCAAATTCCGTAGCTACACAAAAGAAATAGCTGAAAGAAGCACAGAACGAAGAAAGCCGGCCGCCATTGCTTACGAAGATGGCGGATGTAATAATTCCCGCCTCATTCTGATTGGTTGCTAAGCTGAAGGGCACATTTACGAAATTGAGTTGCGTTTAATTGCAGCCCGAGATCTCTCTCCTTTACCGCATTCGAAACTTGTATACTGAACATAGTCTAGCAGCAGTTCCTTGAGAGCTGTATAAGGAGGCAAAATGGGCTTTTCCCGCATAGCTAGAGTTCTTAATAAGCTGTATGCTTCTTTTCCAATGAATGTGAGGAAATGTGCCACAATATTAACATCATCATCATCTTCCTTGCTCATAGCCCAGATTTCGAACCTTTCAAAGTAATCTTCAAAAGCTTCCGAAGTTAAATGAATATCTAACTTTTCCATTACAAGCTCCATCGCAACGCCAATATAATGTTTTGAATTATTTGAATTATAGCACGAACTAGGAGTCCCAGAAATAACGCAATTGAATTAAGAAGTGAGACACAAGCACAAATGAATGTTTTGTATTTGGAATTCGAAATCGAGCATTCAACAAGTACAAATGTATTATTAGTTCGTTCAAACACCACATACTCCTTTTGTGTATGTTCTGTCCAGTCAGGATAGAATAGCGTTCATTTGTTGTGACTGATTTTATTGACTGGACAATTATTGGTTGAATAGCCGGGTGGTAATATTTGTTTAGAACTGTAGAGTTATGGTCTACTATGATATTAGTACTGCTCTAATAATAGACTTAATCCTAAATTTGTAGATTTGTCATGATATAACTGTTTAATCTATAAGATCTCACGTGGAAGTCACACCATGGACTACACCAACTCACTGTATTGTATCAATCACCAATACATGATGTAGAACAAGGTTAGGCTAGAGAAAGAACAATTTATTTAATATGAATAGAAGATATAAGGTAACGTTCATCAGAGACCACGCCTGCATGGCCGAGCCATGCCACTCGATCAACTCCGGTCCATTCCATTCATTTTTCGGGCCTTCTCCATTGTTAGGTATTTCTCCGTGTTAAATATTGAATATCTATTTTCTGAGTAGTCTTGTGTTCAGCTTTGAAGATTGTGTGGTTATGGTCCAATGCCATTACAGAACCGCTATTTACCCGATTACTTGTTTTGATTTTGACGGGCAAGGGCGCGTGTCTAATCTACCTGAGAGTCTATTCAGCATTCCAGACCGTAGTTTGGATTCTACAGTTCTCACTTTCTATCATCACAAGGTGCTTTATTTGAAATGCTCTCTCGGCCGAAATTACTACAGCCTTCTTAGTGGGTAGCTTTAGGTGGAGACATGACGTGTACGTACTCACACAGTTGTAGTGGTGAATATATATCCCCTAATAAATAGTTATGTAATTCTTCGACACTGATGTTGACCTAATCTAACTTACTGAACACACCCTAGCTGAAGCCACACCAGACCACGAGTTGGTACATCATGCTACGCATCCCTTGGAACTACTAGCAAGCTTACATCAAACGCTTCTCGACAAATCGATATCTTTTCGAATATATCACCAAACCCCTTCATTTCCAACTTCCCATTTGGTTGGGTTAGTATATTTCAAACCTCAAATGCTTAAGACGCCTTTATACTGATTATTATTTCCTCCTTTAACCAGATGTGCTTGATGCATATCTCATAATTTACCACGGTTATCATTATTGTACGTCAGTAAATACTTCCTATCTCTACTGCTATCATCTCCGTTCCTTCCTTATTCTTCGAATTTCGTCTTTACAAACCATCTGTACCACTGTTTAATTGACGTGTTTATTTGTTTCTTTCTTGAAACTACTGTCTTTTTAAGCACTCGAATTATCATTACATTATTTTCACATTACAGCCGATCAATCTGCTGTCCGGTGTTGTGGTAGCTGCTGGTATCCGGGTCCCTAACGGAATAACAAAAAGCAAGCTCAAAGAAGTTAACCGGTTTACTCAAGCTCATGACAAAGAGAAAACGACATACTCTTAGGAACAAAGGATATTGTCACACCATTACTTACTACTATTTTTCTTATGTTTTTGTTTAATAACTTTAAGTTACTTACTGGAAGCATTGGTAATCCACTGTAACTAGATACGGAGGTTCATTGAGAGGTTTTTCTGTTCCGTTCAGAACCATTTGAACCATTAGACAGTTTGAATTTGATTTCAGGGTTAAATGAAGGCGTTTACTTGACTTTGAAGGACACATGTGCTTCAAATGAGCAGAGTTTTGCGGTTGGATGGAGATCTATTAAGAGCAACCGTAAACGAGTTGTCAAGAGTTACTGAACTTAGAGGAATACCAGTACTTAAGAATAAATATTTGTCATCCTCGACTTAGTTTTCTAGGTTTACTGAGCTTAATCGTATAATCAAAGGTTTTCGTACTCAAGAAATGACAGTTTTGTCAGGAAATACTGGTGTTGGTAAAACGACTTTCATGTGCGAGTACTCGCTTGATTTGGCTGAACAGGGAGTTCCGACACTTTGGGGTAGTTTTGAAATGCCTCTGCGGAAAGTGTGTAAGACACTAGTCCAACAGTTCGCAGGGTAACTTGACAATTCTTTTTCATTAAGGCTAATTCAGTGAGCCACTAGATCCTCCTATACCCAGCAGAATCGCTGAATGGGCACGTATGTTTAGCGAAAACATTCCTATATATTTTATGAATTTACATGGGGCTCAAAGTTTGACAGAAGTATTAAAGGTGATTGATATTGTGACGTTATATTCTTGTGTTCTTCTGTATGTTTACTTGATTTAGTTCTTCGTAGTTAATTTTAACTTGTTATGTTTCTGGTTAAATGCATCACGAACATAAATTGACAGCCAATTATTGTGGTTTAAAGAGCGATAACTACAAATTAATTCTTGGCTCTGATTATATTTATTAGCGATTCAGGCTCATCAAGACCGATTTCCACATACTCATTAGTTTTAGGTCATACTGCACTTGCCTTAGAGAAAAACACGTCAGCAGTACATGTTAGGCATAGTCCAATACACCCCTATACTCGATTACGGGGTCGTGAAAATGGTCACTTAAGTCACAAACTATTAGTATAAGTCGAATGGGTTGCATTAATCATTATTAGTTAATGAATGTATTTTTTAAATGATTAGACTGAAAATCGGCTATTCATTTCAGTTATAAAGAACGCTGTCAATTACATATTCACACACCCAAGTTTCCACTGCTTATTACAGCTAGGTCAAACTAACAAAATGCATAGCAAACCTAAGTAGTAGTAGCATCTAAGATAATTTAAAAAATACTAAACGTAAACAAATTGGGTTGGGAACAATGAGTGAGTGGTAGAGTCTTAAGTATTTGAAAGATGAAGAATAGATGCATTCGCTCAACTGTAACCTATTTGAAAGCATACGAATGTCATCTACCTCCAAACGTTATTTAAAAGTAATGAAGCAAAGCGATTTATTGAATGTAAATGTGATCTTGTCTAACTTACCCTTTATCACACCCATAAGTTGTTGAGAATTAAGATGTGATAAACATTAAATGCGATTTCTGTCTAGATTTATTTAAATAGTGGATTTAGACTCAAAATTATGTCAGGTGGTTTAAACATACTAAGGTCGTATGAATAATATTCTTAATCCCAATGAATTTATTAAAAGGTTTTGTACTTCCATATCTGAGTACAAATTTTCTGGATATCCACGCTATTATCTATGGATTTCTGTAGTTAGCAGTTTTTGATTGCCTGTTGTAAATCAAACAACAATACTTCTAAATCACCTACTAAAATATCACTCAATATATAACTTAGTGTAGTATTTTATACGATAAAAACTTAGTCTCATAGTACACTTGATCCAACTAATTATCCCATTAGAAAGAAGTAGTTAGATGTACACTTATTTCACTTGTGAGATCATAACTTTGGCCGCATTTAGTCACGCTATTGTACACTCACATATGCACGTGTTTGATACTCGTTCTGACTAGGGCGGGATGAATAAACTCATTTACCAGGTGCTTAGATATGAGGCACACTCTACGTATCTAGGATAATAATGCTACTTGGTTGCCTAGATCAAAGTAGGGGAGCAGTGTTCGAATCTGCGACTAGATGGTGTAAAATCAAACTCCATAACCACTAAGACACCGGTCATTCTATGTAACTTTCAAAGTCCATTCAAATTAAGGTGTGAAACCTGTTGATGTCTAGATATCGAAATCCTGATTTTGACTTTAGTGATTTAAAGAGAATAGAAATCCATTATCAAGACTGAATGCATAGAAACCTACGTGTGGATGTAACAAGTAAACCTGTTGTAATTGACTCTATAAGAGCTGTTGAACTGATAAGTACACAATGAGTTGGTGGAGCTAAACTGTTTATTTTTATTCAGTAGAATCAATATTGGTTAGCTAAGGAACAACAGAACTGATTTTACAGCAATGAATTTTCTCGACAAATTCCTAAGATGACGTTTCTTAGCTTTACTGACCGTCACCTTTAAACTGCAGTTTCAAGAACAGGAGTTTTTGTTACTGTTGGTTGAGGTGGTTAGGATATGTGTTCCATGTGCCCAACCACCACCTACCTTGACACACGATGATAGTTGGTTTAGGAATAAGTGCATCCACTTTTTGTCTCCCTTTTGATCCTTGGTTCTCTAATTGTCTTTGGACTTTTAAAATTCTTTTCATCCCAAGAATCAACATTTTATTATCGAATTATACCTTTTAAGCCTTATATTTTCTATCACTGTTACTAATACTTTTACTACTTATTCACCTCTGACATCTCGCTATGTAGGAGTGATATTTCGATTTGAACTGATGCACGTATGTCAGTCTACACGTTGCGTTTGAACTGACTAATTGGTGCTGTTGACATTTCCATCTTTGTTTTTACTTTAAATATATGTTTTTGTCATTAAATTTGGTTTCAGTCTCACATCCAGGTTTCGTCACAGCAACACACTGCAAGTGATTTAGCGTATGTACTGGTTTATTAGTTTGATATTTTGTATTCGTTTATATTAGCTACGTTGTGTAGCTCGAGTTGACCGCTTTAGATATGAATTTCACTTTGCTATTATTTCTAAAACTACTTGTTTTACTAACGCGTAGTGTAGATAAGTGTCTGGAGAAATTGAACAAGTTAGAAATGATGAGATTAGCAAAATAAATGAATAAAACTGGGGAAATAATGTAAAGAAATGCTATTGAAATTAATCATATAGCATGATTATTAAGAGTAAGAAAATTGAGGATTATGACGGTTTTTTTTAGCATCTCATGGTAATGCAATTATTTCTTGGTCAATTAAACAACATACTACTTCAAGTAGACTGATAATGCACTTAACTTTTGATGCAATACAACTATTAAATGAAATATCAAAACTCATCTTAAAACAAAATTTATTATATATTAGAAAGGAGTAACAAGTTAAATTCTCAAAATATAAGTTCAAATGAAGCAGTAAAGTTATTAAGATAATATACAAGAGAGAACTATATGTACCGAACAGTAGCTTAAACATAGAGCAGTTCTAGATTGACGAAGTGAGTTTAAATATGTAGGCAAGCGGAAATAAAGCATAATGTCCATCAAAATGTGGTTATCTAAAACTGAATATCATTAACTACTAATTCCTCTTGTGTATAAGAGTTTATTTCAAAAAAATTCATAATACGTTTGCCAAGAATAATTTTCTCCATTGACTCAAAAAATGTTTTTGGCAACCTATGCTTAAATCTGATATACTATAAGTAAACCACTATTCAGAGCATGTGTTTTTTTCGCTGCTATAGTGTTCTTCCCAACAGCACTATCATTTATTTTTAATTCCGAGTTATGTGCAGCTTAATTCACTTTTAAAGAGAGCAAGAACGAAGATTGGTGCAGAATAACATATGAATTTATTTCGTTAGGTTTTCATCAGCTGATTACAAACCATAATATTACAGATATTGACGTACTTATAAATACGAGGTTAATTAGAGATGAATATGTGTATCATGATGTAACGACGATTCCGATAGAGTTAATGCCATAAATAAAGTTTGGAAGTGAAAGTTCTAGAACATTGAAATAGCGACTAAAACTCATGAAGTTAACAAACATTAGATGATTGTGTAACGAAGCAATTAAAAACAGATTAATTGTAATAGAGAAGGATATGGATTGAAGAATAATGACAATGATGTAATCGAACTTCAGAAAGAGTTGAAATGACGAATGACGTAATAAATAAAAAAACGGGTGTAATGTTACTAGGGGAAAGAAAGATTTATTGCTGCCTCTTTTTGGATACATAGATCTAGTTCTAGACGTTTGATCTCTATCGCTTCAGCAAATTTCAAAAAGCATTTGGAAATCCCCAATCTTACTGTTCTTTTATTCTCACACGTTGCGTAGTCTGATAGTTGATTTCAATAACATAGTGCTTGTATTTCTCATTGTTCAGCATTTTAAAACTTTCCATTTAGACACCTACAAATTATCAACTAGTTTCGGTTACAATCTATTCTACTTTCGTTTCCATATTTTTCTGATATTACTGGCTATTACTCACTACTGATATTATTCGATTATTTTTCGAAATTATGTTGTTTTGTTGAACTTAATCGAATGAAATTTGTAATTTTAAACTGGTTACCGTTAAATTATGAAGTAAAATAAATTTGATCAGCTAATCTTTTTATTCTTAGTTTGTTTAAACCTACCAGTAGAATTCGAAATACAAAATGCTGATAGTTCTGTTTTCTGAGAGACAGATTTACAAGTTTATAGAATTCAAAAAAGCTTGTTACGTTACGAGATACAGTGATACATATACTGTTTTTAGGCTTGTTCTTTTTGTGGCTTCTTTGTAGAAGGGAAGTGTCTTCTTTGAAGTTCTTTTAATATTCGAGGTAATAGTTTCACAAAAATTAAGCATCGAGTATATATATATATATATATATATATATATATATATATATAATACACTATGTACGAGATTATTATATTGATTTCCGACATATGGAGTAGTAATTTGACGGGATGTAGTGTTGAGTAAAGGCGATGTTATTTCGTTCTTTTCATAATGAAATAACCAAAGTGTGTGGTTTAAAGTCCTATTCATCAACTTTCGTTAAATGAGTTGCACTATATTGTATAGTGATACTCCATATAATTCAAATGATATAGCACAATAAACCAAAGATCCATTTATATCTTTTTTTGTTAGAGGTGTTAGGAAGTTACACAATCCTGGATTGCTATCATTTGCATCATGATTTAGTTTTACACCCTTCATACATCATTGTGGCTTTTAACTGTTCACATTTCCTTGTAGAATTGAAATTTTTCAATTTCATTTATTATTATCATGAATTAGTTTTGCCTACAAATATCCGTCTTCGTACCTTTAGTGGATTTATACTGAGTTAGATTAACTGTCAACTTTGGACCAATGTTATTATGATTAAAATACTTGTTTAGTTGTGCAATATCACTTACTTTATATGTTGAGGTAATAATGCATAACAGAAAATCACCTGACTATGATCCATACATTTACTTGGACTGTTTGGAATCTGCCTTGTGAATGTCTGTAACTAGCCATCATTTTCAGTATGGGATTGTGAAGATTGTTGAATTTCATTTAAATCACGAGACGATCTAAGTTAAACAACCATTGAAAACTTGGAAGTACCGGACACTTGTGGTCAATAGAGCCAATATGTGTCAAGTATGAGAAAGATACTCAACAGAGACAACGGAAAATGGTCGCCCAATGTCGTGGACTGAAGTTAGACTTGTACATCGTTGGATCCCGGCTCAGTGGTCTATTGGTTAGATATTCGCCCACAAGACTGAAGGTTTTGGGTTCTACGTTCGTTTGCAACATCGTGGATGTGCACTGTTCTGGAGACCCGTAATAGGGTGAAACGACCACCCAGTCCTTGCAAGATTTTTGTGGCTGTGTAACTTAGATCGGTTCGTGATCTCAATAATCCTCAACTATCATTTTTCAACGGTAAAATTAAGAACATTAATTAGTTAATTGAAGCGAGCGTATATTTAGATATATAGGCAATATTACCAAAGTAAGATTGTTTGTCCAGGAAAAATTCGAAAGAAGTGAAGCAATTTGTTTAAATAGTAGTAACCTATGGTCCTCCTAAAAACTGAGAATCTAATGTTTCAGTTTAGATTAGTCTATAAGTACCCGCTCCGGAAAAATGCTTTCAACCACCTGTATAAATAAATGTCATGTTATCTAGTACTTAGAGCTGATGAAATTTCACCGATCAGGCTGGATTGTGATCGAATAGGTCAATATCAACCTAAATAACTCGGTGATTAAGTTTCTAGTTGCAGCACTCCATGATGCCAGACAAAATCCCATGAGAAAAATCAGTTTCCCTAAAAACAAAAAGTATCCTATATTGGTTGGTCTAAGCTATCATAACCTGGGTTGAGGGCTTCCACTTAGTTACATCAAACTACAGCATACTTAAGCAAGGCATGCATTTGGTGCATATGTATTGTTGTTCTTGAACGTCAAATATGGTCCCTATACGGATTATTCTTATATTCACGTATAACAAGCTTATGGTTTACATCAAATATTAATAAAATTTGTTCGTTTATTTGATTAGTTCTTTTTTTCTTTAATATTTATATGTAGACTATGGAGGTTGGTGTCAAAGATTCTGGCGTAGAACACATAGTTATCGATAATTTACAATTTTTACTAGGCGCCGGTGATGGTGCTTTCGTGGAACGTTTTCAGCGTCAAGACCACTATGTACAAGAATTACGTGCTTTTGCCACTGAAAAAGGTACACATGTTACAATCGTCGCTCATCCTCGAAAAGTAAATTCTTATTTTTTAATATAGTTTCACCTTTAAATAGGAAGAAACTGGTCGTCTACTTTCAATTAACAGTTTATATGGTGGTGGTAAAATTTCTCAAGAAGCAGATAATATCATGTTCTTGCAAGTAGACTCATCTACATCGATCCCTAAGAAATATTTACAGGTTGGTTTCTGTTTACATTTCACTAGTTATTATTTCTTTTTTGTTGATATTACCACCAAAATGATGTAATATTGACTTACTCAGTATACCGGTTTATATAGATCTGGTTTCGAGTCAAACTTTTTTTTACAAGGACTAGTAATAATACTTGCCTGCTGAAACTGAATTAGAAAGGACAGAATTCGGATCTGTTACCTACTAGTTGAATAGTAAGGTTTAAGCACCACTACTACACACAGTTTATCTTCAGTACATTTTCTTTAGTATATTATATACTAGGACGAAACGGGAGTCCAGTGCTTCCAGTTTTTCCATGGTGGTCTAGCTTCAATTGACTCATGATTTCAACTAGTGAAATTTCTAAAGTCACAAAACCCCTTCTGACAATATTTATAAAGTATTAATGAATAAATGTTGTAACTTGTCAAGAATTATAGAGTTTTTATTGTTTAAATGTAAATATTACTCTTACTACGTATATTTTTTGAATCAGTTGAAGTAGCTCTTCAGTAGCTTTCATTTTTTGAGTTTTCTTGTATGAAGTTTTGTTTTAAAGCAGATTGTAATTGTAGCTTATATTCATTCGTAAAGATTTATTCTCTCGTATCCAGTATAGTTATGAGTATAAGCTATTTTTACTATCCATGAAGCTTGACAATTTATTAATAAAAACTACTTCAAAACACATTTACCGGTAAATAATCTACAGATTAACTAAAGTTATTGTAATTCACTAACCACTTACCGATTTATGCACTAGGATTTAGACTAAAAGTTTTTGTTGGGCTAGTGATACTACTCGTTCGATCAAACAGTAGATAGTGTAGTTTGGCTCAAAAAACCAGACCTAGTAGTTGGTGTGTAAAATTGTTGATCAGCCGTTTGTTGATTAATGCACTAAAATTCTCACCCATTATCTCGTAAGTTCGAATCCCTGTCCACCTGTTTCGGTATTAGGGATTGGATGTCACGAGGTTTTACTCAATTTGTGTCATTCAAAACTGAGTGCATAAACATGTACTGATATGCTTCATTATATATATTTACGAAAGTTGGTTACAATCTGTAATCTATATCATTGATATTGACATTTGTATGCCGTAAATTTACAATATCTAGTTCAGTAATTCTTGTTTCTCACTCGAATGAGTAATAAGTTAGTGAATTTTCAAATATATCATATAACAAAGTATTACTTTCAAAATTTTATCCATTGTGAGAGTAAACAGATTAAAAGGATACCTTTTAATATAGAGGAATCAAAGTTTCACGATTCATAAAATATAATCTTGCATATGAATCTGGCAAAACATTAAAACTTTCCGAATATTTCGGTATAATTGTGAAGACTTCATTAAGTGTTTTAAAATGATTAGACTAAAGTACTTTTTAAGTAAAATTTCAGTTGATTTTGGATTCAAATTATGTATAATTTTAGAATTGATATAATCTCTGGCCACCAAATCTACTCAGTACCAGAGTAATGGACTCAAATTTGATCCACATTGTTTTTATGAAGACTAGCTATACTACTCACAGCTTTCCAAACCGAAATATGTGGTGGAGTGAGTTCAGAAACTACCAGTAATTCGGTTGAAAGCGGAGCACTTTGATTACTAAACTTTGGCTCTGAAACTCAATTTGTAGTCGTATATAATCTTCTATTCAATGTTCACTGCATCAATGATCATATAAATGTGACGTAGTTAGTTGTCCATTTATTAAAATCTGATAGCTATCTCATAGCTTGTGATTCTTATTCATTCATTTTATGTGTTAAACCGTGTGGTTCACTCGGTTGCGTTTATGATAATTGCTAATTACAAACTATTGAGATCCTTTGAATATGGTTAGGAACTAATACCAACTCGATGGTACGGCCACTAACAAAACGTTTCAACAATTATCATCAAATAACGGAACCTAAAATCAAGACAGGTGTATAGCAAAATATTGATATTCAACAAAAACAGAAAATTGAAGACATCTTTTTGTATATAGGACGATAATATAAACGTGGGAAATATGGGAAAATTAGCAAACTAAAAGTGATAGTAGCCAATTAGAAAACAGTCATCATATAGAAATACGAAATAATAAAAATATGCTCGTGGTTGTCATTACGGGAAAGAACTAGATAACTTGCAGTCTTCCTAGCAATAAGATACTACTTAATCTTTGAATTAATAAAGCTGAAAAGAAAGTTTGTGGGGGAAATTGAGTGTAACGATGATTTGATTTAGGTTATTCAGGGATTTTCTTGTAGTATATTTAATTATCACCGTGAGTGTGGAGTCAGAAATCAAAGGTATACTACGAAATGATCGTTTTTAAACTGGTTCGAAAAAAGCTTTATTGTCCCAATTGTTGTTATATTTGTAATCAATAAAAAGTTGTGTTGTGTATATTCATTTGTAACCTATATTAACTTCTTCATAGATGACCTGTATCAGTCATATTGTTTAATAATTCATAGTAGACATGTATGCAAATTTGGTTGCGATCGATTTTTTTATTTCTCTGTTTTCTTTTCTGATTATTATCACTCAGTAATAATTAATTGGCTAATAAAAGTTAATAATCCTGTAAGTTTTTTGATGAACAGATGTAAAGGCAGGAATGTAGGACTCTCCCTGAAATATTTTATTTTCGGGTGATTGCGTAACTAAACTGTGTAGAAGTAACAGACAACTGTGTTATTGTATTTCCAGTTTTCTCAGTATGATTAGTTTCACACAGATTTGAACCCGTCACATTGAAAACCGACAGCTGGCAATATTGCGTTTTAAACAATTGGAGTTTATACTGGTAATTGGCACTTCTCAGTCATTATGATTAAGTTGTTCTTACTATATTCAACCTGTGTGAAAAAATACCTTGAAACTTTCCATACCTTTAATTTATAAACTCGAAATAATTTGTTTTTAGTTCAATATATTGTGTGTACTACATTTTCCCTTCTGAATAAACCATGTTTCTATCATTCTACTATTGTTGTTTGATCAAATTTGCACAAATCACTCATATTTTACTTTGACCAATAGTGTTAGTCATTTAGTTTACAGATTTGGTCTAATGACATCTATTACATGTACAAAATGTGCACAAGTCAGGTGATCTGACATTTTAATGCACTCTATTGAATTTTGAATGGTTGTAGGTAATTAACAGTATGTATGAACCTAAATTAGTTCAGAAACCTGCATTTAAGGAATTCTACCCATTATATATATATATATATATATATATATATATATATATAATTCAGATCATCTGTTAATGGGATGCGATTAGCTAGGTAATACTTTTAATTACAAATGGATTTTTTGAGAAAAATTTATAAATATCGGTCACTGATAGTTGAGTTTTGATATAATTTTGGTATTCTTACTACAAACCTCTGAAACTTGAATTACAGTTCTTATTAGGTACGCTTACTACTAAGCTTCTTTAATAAAAAGGAAACATGTTACAAGTCAGTTTGCAAAGTGTAAATGTCAGTTGTTTTAGTAGTCATTCTGTAATAACTATTACATTGCATTACGAATAGTTTTTTAAATAGTTATCCAAAATACGTTATGACATCTCAAGAAATCGGAGCGACTATGTTGTCATGCTCGAAATGCTGAAAATGTGAGAGTAAACTACTATGATCAACTTTAAACCATACACTTGTATCAAAATTCGAATGATATTCAAAGTTAATGTGCTGAATGGAGTAATTAAGCTACATATACTTTAAGCTGTATCTAATTTCCAAAATACTGAATCGTTATTTGGTTCGCATGAGTACATAAAACATGTATTTAAAAACCAAAGCTATAAATTCTATTATTAAGATAAACTTTCGAACAAAATAATAATGTAAATTTATGTAGATTGTATTCTTTAAAGCTCCTTGATAATTTCAAAATACTCTAAAAGTTCTAGTACGTACTCATAACCGATAGAGTTTAGACATAATGGAAATAAGACAGTTTTCATCAATGGCATTAGATTGTTGTTGGACTATATTACAGATTGATTAAAGTTGTAATTATACCACTTAACTTTAATCTAATGATTTCAGTGGTTAGAAGTTCTATGCCTGTTAATGTCGTGGATAGACACCGTTGAAATATTTCTTACTAAGATAATAATTATTCATATTGAACATGTCGTAATATCTTTCTCTTTGTATATGATATTTCAACAAGAAGTACTTTGATTTTATTATTTTTGATGCAACAAATTTTGTTAATGTTAAAATACATCTATCAAGTTTTAACAAAATCTATTTATCTATCTATTTACATTTAACAAGGAATGAATAATAAACTTTAATGAATATGTTTTTATTGTTAATTATAATAATTAATTGAATGTTAATTCATTAATTATTTACAATCAAACATAAATAGTGAAATCGACGGTATTCTAGAATATATTAAATCTAATTATCCATAGATTTATAGGGAACATATTATTTTCATTATGCGTAAAAATAGGAAAATAATTATCTTGTTAATGAATAGAAAAGTAATTAAAATAAACACTGACCAACTAACTTACTAACTCACACACTGCTGAGGAGTCTCACAATAGGTCGAAACGACCGTCCAGTGCTTCCATGTATTCCCATGGTGGTCTAGCTTCAATTGACTTATGATCTCAACTATTAAAATTACTATAATATCTACAAAACCCTTTCTCATACTAACTTATTTTCATTAAAATTCATTTGGAGTGATTTTCGAGAAAATTATAACAGGAATATTTCAGGTTTTTTTTTGTTGTTGTTGTTAGGACTATTCAAATCACTTGTATTCATTCATTCAATGAGTCAATATTTAGGTGATTGATTGACCTAATTTCCCATTAAAAAGAAAATTAACAGCAAATATGAAATAATTGTAAGTTGTTTTATTCATCACATTCTTGTGTGGGTGTTATAAGATCTCAGTTGAATTCCACATCGTCCACATTGTCTTTTACATATCGGAATGTTACTGTTTCATGGAGAAATGTGATTGGTTACTGTGATCAAAGCTGTTTTGTCGATTCTTTTTCGTTTGTTTCACAGAATTAAAATAATCCTTATTGATTCCTCAGTTTCTACGTATTCTGATGACGAAACTCCATTGAGACTACAAAATAACAGCATTAAATTACAAATAAATAAATAAATATGACATTAGATATGATTCAAGTTGTGTCACATAATGATTAGAAATGTAAACCGTCAGTTTCGGGCTTACTAGTTTAGGTACATTGTGTTCACCATAAAACCAAATGGGTATTGAGTACTAATTGAATATCCAAACATCTTGGTCTGTTTGTCCAAACAACCACAATGAATTGCAATCGTTTCTTACATCATTAATACATATACATACAAAAATTTCAACTCTACTCTTTCACATTACAAATTTCACATTTTACACACCCACTAGCATACACAGTGATGTCTCATAGATAATCACCTTGACCAAAAAATGATATTGACATAAGCGGATGTAATTTGCTTTTAATGTTGATTGAACTAAATGTTCTCCTTCTTCCTCTATAATATTTAAACTTGTGTTAATTGAGTTCGGTTATTTGTTTACTTTGAAAAAGTGGCTTACACTAAGTCACAAAACGTCAGAAATTTTAATTTTTACTGATTGGAACATTACACGTAGTTCATTACTTTATTACTTTGTTTGTAAGGATTGATATCCGGTGGTTCGCAGTAATTCTAGTGTCAGAATTTTTCTGTACGACATTTCTTGTCATAAACTAATTGCTATAAGATGGCTATAGTTAATTTGGGTTTAAATGAAGAAAAATTAGTTAAGATTTCACTTTATTTATTTATTTTAGCCTTATCAATAAAATCCAACGGATTAGTGAGTCTATATTCATGTGTTATTATTTGGAAATTATTATTAAAATCCAAATTACTTATGATAGATTGTGATGCACGATGAACAGCATGTTCCTTATCTGTCTTAATCGATAATGACTGATAGAGGATAACCTCTCTCTTGAACAAACTAATTCTCACTCTCGTTATCCTTTACAATAATTACAAGATATTTTTGAATAATAATTGTGAATGAACTGAATATATATATACTTCAAATGAATAATGTCACCTCTACACTCTTAACTAATTAGACAAAGCAGATGAACAATATTATATGATTTAAATCACGAACTGATGGAAGTTAGACAATCATTGAAAACCTTCAAACACTGAGTGGCCGTTTCATCTTAGTATGGGCTCAGCTGCTTTTACACGACCCCGGACACGGAATTAGAACCCAAGACTTTAGGTCACGCATGCAGACACCTAACCTCTATACCACTGAGTCAGGATTCAATGGTGTACTAATCTAATTTCAGTCAGTTCATGATTTCAATGAAAATCAACAATCTCTACAACCCTATTCTGACAATATATGAAAGAGACAATAACGAAATGTTCATCGTTGTCTGCATCTGTCGAAAGTGACAGACGTATCATCAATTAAACAAAATTAGGAGTTTGATAATCTGACGGAAAACATTTTATTGTTGTGAAAAGAGCTTATTAATATCATAACTTCATCGGATCATGTAGCAGTTGACAGAAACATTAACGTTAACTAGAAAGCCAATATAAGAATTTCTGAGTGTTATTATCTAGGAGAATAACTGGTGTTTCCACCAAGTAAATATCAGTCCTTAAAGAAAAAATCTTAGATAAAAGGAATACATCATTCTAGCTTTCATTGCACTTTATCGGAAAAACATTCATAGATCAGCTTGATGAATTAAGATTATATATAGGTGATATTCGCTACAGATTGTTCTTATTCAAATTACTATTGAAAATCAAGAGCAACAAAAAGTTGTCTTGTCGCAGTATGAAAGAAGACACCATGTTCACTTGTTAGTTATATATATTGCGACGACGGACCACGGGTGAACTCGAGGAAGCTGTAGGAGGCTCGGAAGGAGCCGAAGATATTCCATCCAATCACCTTTCGGGAGAATATTCTAGAATTCCTACGTGTAGCTTCCCGATTGGACAATGCTAATAACCCCTTGTATGCGGATTGGAGGACTGTAATGATGATTTCGTTCTTACTAAAAACTATAAATACCTGACAATTTTGTACTATAATTGACACTGTCTGGGAATAATATTCCTTTCATTAGTCTTCTGTCTTCTCATTGCGACTTGGAAGGGTTCTGGCGTTCTAGTGCTCACGTTATACGCGGTGTATCAAGAACAAGCTTATATATATATATATATATATATATATATATATATATATATATATATATATATATATATATATATATATATATATACTGTGTGACTGACTAACATTCTATGTAGTAATTATCACAGAAGTAAAAATTAAATACACTTGAACAACCACTGTACAAGTCGATTTATGGTTTATATTATATATATTAAATAGTAATGCGTAAATGAATAATCTATCATCAAGTTCTAAGATTTCACTCAGACTCGCTTTTACAAATAATCTTAACAGTGTTTAACCATTTAATATACTTATATCCAACTATCGTTTTCAACTAATCAGTATATTATTATAGACCATAAAACTAAGTTATATACAAGTTAAATGAATATTAGTCATAGTTATGGAAAATGAACGAAATAATAGAAAATTATAGATAGTTATTATGTTTATCTACTTAAATGTTTAATGACTACAAGTTTATAATTTAAAATCAGACATGTCTGTTCAATTTTCAATTTTGAATTCAATCTCCAAATACAACTAATTTTTGTTGTTGATTGGTTGTTTTACTTTTTCTACACTAAATATAGAGAAAAAAAATAGTATTGTAGATTAACAGTGACAAAGGATACAACTGATACATGTTCTGTCTAACTAATAGTCATTCTGTTATTGTTGTTGTTGTTGACATCGTTGTTCTCATAAATTTACAAAACTTTGCTTTTACTCTTGTTCTTTGTTTATTTTTTGTTTGTTTTGTTTTTCATTTTATCATGCGGTTTTTCTATCCAGAAAATAAAGGTTTTCCACATTTTTCATCACTAGTAATTTTTCGATGAACAAACTTAATAAACGCAATATATTTGTAGACTTGATGAAAATTTGTCTATGTACGTGTATATTTTAGAAAATATTTGGTTATCTTTTTTAATTATTGTCTAGATATTGCTTTCCTGATTGTTAAACAGTCAGACCGGGTTTAGTTGTATGAAGCTTTTTGTATTCAAATATTTCCCTGTAAACAATATATATAGCATCACTGAATGCTAAGATGAGATGTTTGTTTATCTAACTATAAGGGAATTTACTACACATTAGCTTACTCTGCATTAAATTATAGCTGCAAAATGTGTTTTGAAGGGCGCATGCATGCGTAAATTGCTGTGATTTTATCGTAGATGTCTACGTATCATTGCTCGACCGTGATGAAACTACCGAGTAATCACTGTTGATGTCAGGCCTACAGCACTTGTTAGAAGTAGTAAGTTCATTAACTTTCTACTTCGACATATAACGCTGCTCAGCAAATGAGTAGAAATTGTATCATCCATAAAGTCATTTACTATTGAACTGAACTTTGTAATTAGTTTTAAACTTCAGGATTAAAGACCGCAAGCCTATAATGACCTATAGTTGCAATTTTTGTGTGATGTGAATTAATATCGATTGTGATGGCACAGATTCATTCTTTCATCTTCTAAATCTCGAGTTCTTAAATCGTTTTCTTCCTTATATGTCCTGTTGACCCGTATTGCTCATGTTAAACTTCCCACTGTAATACGTGTTGTAATCCCATTTTCATCTTGTTAATTTCCTTTCTCACTCTACTGATGTGGGGTGTGATAGCGTGAAGTAATAAAATTTTTTGTCAGCCCTTGCCTTGTTTGTGATTGATCGATGTATTCCATAGTTTTTCCTCAAATTTTAAACACTGTTTAATCCAAATTACGTAGTGGCATGTTAATTTATCTTCATGTGTATCACGAATTTTGGATTTTTCACATCTGATGGTGTATCACCATTTTTCAAATTTATTTACTATTCCTGTGATTATCATATTAGTATATTTTATTATCCAGTAAGTACAGTTTGAAATTACGCGCAAACATGTAAACATTAATCATTGTATCCATTCCAAAGACTAAAAAAACATTTGTAATTTAACCTATTCACAGTCAATTTTTTGGAGTTTCCTACAATTGATTATTTCTTCAAAGTGATTTCACCAGTTTCCTATCTTGCCTTCAACATACTTTTTTAATAAGTTAAACACAAAATGAAAATGTTTTTAAATTAATTCTAGTTGGTTAAACTGACAAGTTGAATATATATTATCTATGTTTTGTATATTAAAAAGAGAATTCTAAATGACTGATTCCTACTTTATCCGTTAACATCATACTATTATTATTTTCCTTGTAGTCGTTCTTGAAACGGTTAAACTTTCATTTATTATTCTTTGTCTCTGATTATTCATGAATAACTTCATCTATTACTTGAATTATTTCGTATTTCTTTATTTACAGTAAAATAATACTTCAATCTGTTCATTTTCCTTAATTCAAACTGAGAATTTCACAACTCATTAGATAAAAAAACACTGCAATCATTTGAAGTATGCTTTAAGTGACTTTTGAATGTTGGTATATTGCTCCGAAGTTTCATTTTTAAAAAATTTTAAGATCTGTTTTTCATTAACTACAATTTTTAAGTAGTTACTTTCACAACGATGGAGGTTTGAAACCCATTCTGCTTGCTTCAATTTAGACAATCATGTGGTATCTATCACATGGCCCGGCGCAACCTATGTGCATCAAAGTCGAGCCCATGAACACGTGCCTAATAAATGATCTACTCAAGACGGTAACGTAACTTTGTAGCTCAGAAATATTATTTCAGTGATATTGAATCCTCTAAACTACATGATTTTGATAGTAAACGATTTATTGTCAGATGTCATGATATATCTTCGTTTATCTCGGTTCGTGTGGACATAAGTTCGTCTCCACTCACTCGCGAAACATGTGAATTGGCTTACTTCTCTGAGTTTATGCTAATGATCTTGTAAAGAAAGATAACGAAAGTCCTATGATTAAACTTTCCGGTCTCGATAATACAACGTCACCAAAACAAATGTTAAAGTTTCTGCTCTGAAATCTTAAGTGTTTAACTGAGACACAATACCGATAACGAATTATGATCACTGATCATTTTTTATGAAATTTCTTTCATCTTTAACTTCAATTTATACACTATTTACTTTCGATCAGTTTCAGACATTTAGATTTTAACCAGTAAGAATTCATTGACCTATTTATGTTTTAACTGCTAACACAAATCCGTTTAATACATTTTATCCTAATTTTCTCAGTATCAGCATTTGATACTTATTAATTGCTAGGTAAATTCATCAAAGTAACATTAAAAGGTCAGTTCTCTACTTGTTATGTTATTTGTTTGTTTTTTTATCCAAGGTCATGATTTCTTTAATTTTACAGGTTCAATATGGTTGATATACAATTTTATTTAGACGTTAATTGGTTAGAATTTTCTCGTTATATATGTATATTTATTTTCTAAATTGATCATTTGGAATGGTAACAATATTACCCATTATGTTAAACCTAACAACTATGATATTACAAGTTGAAATCATGAGTCAATTGAAGCTAGACCACCATGGAAAACCTGGAAGCACTGGAAGGCCGTTTCGTCCTGGTATGGGACTCCTCAGCAGTGCGCATCCACGACCCCGCACCTCTCGCGCGAAGTCAGTAGGTCCTAGGTTCGAATCCCGTGAGGTGCGAGGTCGTGGATGCGCACTGCTGAGGAGTCCCATGCCAGGACGAAACGGCCGTCCAGTGCTT